TTTTTTTTCAAAAAACAAAAAAAAAAAAAATTATGATTAAAATTTATCATACAGACATAATATAACGATGAATAGACACTCACATTATTGTACGCCTAAAAAAAAGAAGATGATGAAATTTATCAAGTGACATGTAAGAACATGAAATAAATAAAAAAACTCTAGCGACTCTAGTTGTTTTTTTTATTTTTTTAACGAAGCTTTTTGTTACACTAAAGAGATCTTAAAAATAAACGAAATAATGCTATTATAAACAATAACAAAAATAAAAATTATCTTAATATTAATCGACGAGTACTCGTATAATTGTAAAAACAATGGAAGGGGATAAGTGTAAAATGTACGCGAAATATAAAAATTATATAGCGCATGAGAAAATAAGAAACACTTTTGTGATGTAACGACACATGTTGTGTGCAAAAAAATATGCTGATGGACCGAACGTAATACATAATTCACGTATAGTTCATAAGTTTAATGCTTTTTCTCACGAAAAAAAAAAATATATATATATATAGCAAAAAAATTAAACACTAATCGAAAAAGAAGCGACGAAGGGGAAAATGTATGTACGGAAGCTGAAAGCTAGAAAAGTCCTAAACTGTCTTGGAAGTGTTATTATATACTTGGGATGGATGATATCTTTTTTTTGTTATTTGCAATGAGTTACATAAAAAAAAGTAAATAAATAAATTAACAAAAAATAATAATAAAAAAACAATCAACTAAAAGAACAACAGAAGAGGGTCTTGAAGAGCGTATTTCCAAATGATAAAAATAAAAGAAAATCAATCAAATTTTCTTTCAAAAAACATCAATAGAACATTATACTAAACTGTATATGGTGAAAACAGAAAAAAAAAAAAATTTGCTTGTATATAATATATCTTAATAAAAATGATGTACCAATTAAACATCAATTTTTTTTATCCTATGATTGCACTCTTTTAGATTAATTACCTTTCAGGTTCTCTGAGTTAAAAAAAGAGGTAATCATTGAAAGTTTTATTTTATTTTTTACATTATTAAATTGACAACGAAAGTACAAAAATTATATCAATAAACAAGTACAAATGCTTTGCAGGAACCCAATGTTGAAAAATACATCAATTCATTACGTCTAATTGACTAAATATAAGAACTATGTAAGAAATTTTATATGCAAAATCTTTTAATATCATAAATTTTCTCAGTCGATTCGATTCAGATATTATCACAATGTATACAGATTAGTTAGATCCAGACTAAGTTAAATCTATAACTACGATCGATTGGTGGACAATGCAATCAGTACAGTGTTGTAAGTGTACATGAGTAAAGCATAATGAGCGCTGTACACTTACATGACAAGCGTATGCCATACGTGAATCATTTTCCGCTCACCAAAGTAGCAAAATATGAACTATAAATTTTTATAATAAGACAATAAAGTCTATTGCACGTTCTTCATGGTCCAATGAATAGAGATCAAATTTGGTTTGGCCATTTGACTGTTGCTTATTACGTTTTAAATGCTCCAGCTTGTGCGGCTTTGATGATGAAAGTTTTGATAGTCGCCTCATCCAGCTTAGCAAAATTTGGCGTCTGAATGACATCAGTCATGTGATTCAACGCAAACTTGAAACAAAAATCCTCCAATTCCTGTAAACAATTAAACTTTAATATAACTCAAACGTTATCTGACACTTCACTATTCATTACGACTTACTTTGGCGTCGTATTCGATTGCAGTGCTGTACAAAAATGCAACATTTGAAATAGTAATTCCCTGCTTGATCATCTGAACACAACGTCGTTTCAGCTGCATTTCAAAGTAGACGTTTGCCAAGACCAGCAGTTCTAAAAAAATTCTCACAATCCTTAGAATATGATGTCGAAATTGTACTAACTACATGTTCAAGGTATTACCCAAAGCATTCTCTGCTGGTAAATCCACTTCATCTGTATATAAGTACCTTAAAAATGATTTATATACATCGTACGAAAACTGATTGTGTTCAATAACGCTGAAAAATAAATCATTATAAAGAAAATAGTAGATGTCAAAAATATTATAAAAATATCATCATACTCTTGATTGTTTTCTGCCCAATGCTCCTGAAACATTGATTTGAAATACTGACACCGTATTTTTAGTACAGCTTTGTGTACATAAATCGGTTTACTCTGAACTTGTATCGTTAAATCGCTCGTAGCCTAATGGGAAACAATATCCATTATTGATTATTAGCTCAATTTCACAAGCGCACAAGACATGATTCATACGTACCGGATCGTCGAAAGCATTGCGCAAACATTCAATAATACCAATCTCTTCTTCAGCTTGCAAAACAAGAGGCTCATGCATGACACTCGGTGTCGCGTAACAGGCAAGAGCATCGTGTATATGCGGCAGAGGTGTAGCCATTGGTGTTGTTACGCTTTGTCCTCGACACTGGCCCCACATGAAGATCTTACCACCCTGGCCCATTGCCACACTTATGTGATTGTAGTGTGACGTTGCTATGTTGGAGATCCGGCCCATCTCCGGCATGTGTAACTGTTTTTATTTAACTATTAGAATTTCGTTGTATACAAGGTTTGAATATTTGTTGAACTGAATCCTCACCTTCACTGGTGTGCAAGCGTTAGCCTTGTTTCCTAAACCTAACTGCCCAAAACCATTACCTCCCCAAACGTAGAGGACACCATCGTCGCTTAACGCCAAGGTGTGTGCATATCCACAAGCAATTTTTTCTATGTAAATTTCAATAATTAATTCTGGTAAGAAATAAATATTACGAAGTTAATACAATCATAACGGCACCATACCAATTACAATCCCATTCAAGCCAGTAACTTTGCAGGGACTGAGCTGATTCACGTAATTTCCAATTCCCAATTGGCCGACTCCATTGTAACCCCAGCCATAAACTTCTCCAATATCCGTCAGAGCCATGGTTGATGTCTGTCCACAAGTGATTGACGTGACGACTTTGCCAGTCAAAGATGAATTGACTTTGCGCGGCGCAGCCTGATTCGAACTTATACCCGTACTTACTTGTCCACAGTTGTTTTGTCCCCATGAGTATACCTTGAAATAACAAAGAAATGAATTAAAATTTATTCAATTCACAGTTTAGCCAGACTATATTTTTCAGATTCGTTGAAGAAAGTTATTTTTACTCACTTCACCGTCTTCTGTGAGGGCAACTGAATGATGACTTCCACATGCTATAGAAGTCACGACTTTTTCACTCAAATTGAGACAAAGAGCTGGCGTCAGTCCTTGATTCGTGGAGCCGTTTCCTAACTCACAATATCCATTGTGACCCCAGGAATATATCTATACAAAAGTTGAATTTTTAAAAATCAACAAATTATTACACTTAAACTTTAAACTTTTATAAATTAATACAAGGTGAAAAGGAAAAGAGAGAAAATTGTTTTTAAAATGAATTAAATCCATTTGAATAAACAATAAATAAATAAAAAGAAAAATCAATATTGATCAAAGTTGCTCCTCATAACAATGCATTCTATTTCCAGTACCTCTCCTTTATTTGTAAGAGCAAGAACATGTGGCCCGCTGCCGTATGCAAACGTCTTGACTCCTTTGCCGCAGAGAGCTTCAACTTTTTTTGGGTGCAACGTGCTGTGCGAGTCTCCAGTGCCAAGGCAGCCAGCTGTATTGCTTCCAAGAGCATAAACATCACCATCCTTTGTTACAAGTAATGCTTCATTTCCCAAGTTACCTGATGTGAAAAAAAAAAAAAATTAAAATAGCATTTATGAAGAAAATGTAAAAAATATTTCATTCATCATAGACTTATGTTTCCAAAGAAAAATGTAACATTGATAATAAAAAAACACTTCACTAAAAGCATCGGTACAATGACTTGTGCATTGACTCTACAATTAGCAGATTATTTTTATCTCCAAGCAGTTAATGAAAACAAACTCACACTATGAACTCTATAAATATGTTGAACAAAGGAGAAAAAGTGTAAGACTATTTACTTTTGGATGACAAAAAAATGACGATTAAAAAAATAATATTAATAGAAATTTCAAAACAAGCAACTATTTTGTAAGGTATTTAATTAATGAGTTTCCGATATAAAATGAACTATGTGTTATTAACTGGATGGAGTTAGTTACATAAATAAAGAAAGTTACAAATGTTGTAATCTGTTATTCAAGAAGCATTACATAAATAAAAATAAAGGAACGTTTGAATTTTAATACTTGTAAAAGTCAATAGTCAATGAGTACTACAACAAAACGTACAAAATCAAGAGGTACTAGCCGTTCAACCTACAACAAACTTTCCAGATTAACTATAAAAAGTCTTGTTTAAATTAATACATTGGTACACTGTAAAATAGCAGGAAGAGAATGTAGTAAAAAGAACTGTACAACAACTGTACATACATCCATGCATAACTGTACACGCATTCACCTCATCTTACATCATTACAGTACTTTCTCCAATTACCCGTTCCAACGCGATAACAAAAAAAGAAAAACAAGTGCGGGACAAGCATCCTACTCACCATAAACAACAGCCATTTGAATTTTAGCAATAAATTTCGGCTCTAGGAGGCTGAAGATTGGCCAATTTTTCAAATCCACCCGCGACATGGTGACAGTAGCAGCAGCAACAACACTCGGCTCAGGCTCTTGGGAGTGTTCTGTCTCCTCGATGACGTTCTGCGCCACTGCAACAACCAACTCTTCTTCCATACTATACGAATATGACTTTCAAGGGAACGTCATCGGCATCGACTGCTGCTCAGCTGCTGATCGCAGTAGTGAGCGCAAGAGAGTATACACAACGGAGTACGGAGTGCCGTTGCCTCCGAGCCCCGAGCACGGCTGCCGTTTCGTACTATCCCCCGTCCTCGCTCTGGCTCCCGTCCCCAAAAAGTTGATTTACCGACTTTTTGTCAGTAACTGTAAAATTCAATATAATTTCTTTTCAATTATTTCCCAAATTCAATACACGCAACGACATACGTAAGGTGAGGATCGAGGAACTCCAATTGGTATGCTCGCAAATAAAAAATGATCTAGCGGTATTTTATGTCGGAATAATTATACTATTAATAATTAATTAAAAATAATTATATACTATTTATTCGTTTCACCTACTTGAGTTAAAATATATCTACAGATATATAAAAGTTACATAAAAAAACGGTCAATTTAAAATCAGGGCTCATTCCAAACTAAATAAAGTACCATATTTCTTTTGAAAGAAATTCACTAGGCAAAGTAACTAGGTGTCCGAAACAGAGAGGGTCCGGCTCCGGTAGACCATATTATACGCTCACTTTCTAGAAATTCACTCGTGCCCGTATGTATACTATATAGCGGAGGGTTTATTGGAGCGGCTCCGGAAGACCCTACGCTCACTTCGTTTAAATTCACTAGTCCCCCTGTAGCAAAGGATCTATTAGATCGGCTCCGGTAGACCCGCTAGTCTCCGAAGCAGAAGGTCTATTGGATCGGCTCCGTTAGACCCTATATACGATCACGTCCTTTATATTCACTAAAGTCCGCAGCGGAGGGTCTATTGGATCGGCTCCGGTAGACCCTACGCTCAACTCCTAGAAATTTACTAGGAACAATTATTTTTAGTGTGTCAGCGCCATCTAGTGTTGTGGATTTTGCGGGTTGACGCAAACTATTTTCTAGGGGAACCGTCTTGAAAAAGTCCCTAGATTCTAGGGGATTACGGCAGAAGTAAATACCTAGATATATATAGATATACTATAGTAAGTCGAAAATCGCATACGTCAAGGGTCTATTTGGGTGCTTCGAAATACGCAATACGGCTCGAGATTGATGGTCACATGCATAATAAAAATACTAAAATTTGCCAAAAATGTAACAATTGTCACCCACGCATGCCTCGCTTTGGTTATATATTGCGTATATCGAAGCACGCGAATAGACCCCCGATGCTCGTCGGTCGTCGATCGATCGAAATTGCATTTGGGTGTAGCGCCATCTAGCCTTGAAAATCCTGCTGTACCGACAGTAGACACAAGATAAGAGAGAAACCTGCATTCGACCGAGTTAGCCAACCGTCGGTACATCAACGATAATATCGGCCCTGCTGTATCGACAGCTGACCGACGCACTTTACCGACGCTACCGACGACGAGGTTTACTGATGGAGTCTATTTGCGTGCAATATATTATAATAACGAAAAACGCGAGGCATGCGTGGGTGACAATTATTACATTTTTGGTAAATTTAAGTATTTTTAGTATGCATGTGACCATCAATAGTTATGTATAGTAATCACAACGAAGTATTAGTTCCATATGGTCGATTTTATTAAACCATATAAGTAGAATATTTAGTATTCGCGAATAGCCATTTAATTAACTATAAACCAGCCGCAATTATTAACGTAGATATAAATCAAAAAGTTAACGGTGTTTGTGCTGTTTGCGGTAAGTTAACAATTAATCTTTTACTCGAAAATTTATCTTCAAAAGTATAAACACATAGGAGGTCGATTTTTTGGTAAAAAAAAAATTGTTAACTCGCCGCCAAAAACACATGTGTCGTTATTTTTATATTTTATAGCTACAAGATGAATTGCGGCTGGTTCAGAATTGACTAAATAGCTCTACGCGCTAACGCTCTGTTTCAAAAGTTTAGGGCCACTTTTTAGTTCAGAAATCCGCAACGCTAGATGGCGCTGATCCAAATAATTATTACAATTTACAGTAGAGCCATGTAATTATAATTATAAACCAGCCGCAACTAATATTGTGTATACGAATAAAAAAGATAACATTGTTTGTGCTGTTTGCGGCAAGTTTACAAATTATCTTTTACCTAAAAATTGACCTCCAAAAGTATAGATATTCTACTTATATGGTTTAATAAAATCGACTATATAGCACTAAAATACTTAGCAGTGATTACTATAATTACTACACATAGCTTCACGTTTATCTTACACCTTACACCGTGCTCTCTTTACCAGAATGAAAAAATCAGAGGCAATTGCTTAAGCAGCATTTGCGAAATACATATACATATATATGTATGTATAGTGATTTACTTCTTCTAGAAATCCCTAGATTCTAGGGACTTTTTCAAGACGGTTCCCCTAGAAAATAGTTTGCGTCAGCCCGCAAAATCCGCAACACTAGATGGCGCTGACGCACCATACGCGCGCGTTCGGCGTTTACCAATACCAAAAAATCTCGCGATATTGACAACAATAGAGTCGTAAAATAACAAGACGTTTTACTTAGTATGATGTTGCTTTGGGGTTAAAACACTGTGCAATTATTTAATTCGTAATAAAATATTATTTCAAGTCTTACAAAAATCAATCATATAAGCTAAAAGGCTCACAAAGCTGTCCAACTTCTTCCAACATATTTCGAAGCACTGCGCGCGAAAATTGTGACGCGAGTTGTGATACGGTTGGAAAAATAACATCTCAGTTGTTCAACTCAACCATCTCTCATAGCACTGGCTCGTCCAAGTCTTTCCCGCTTGAAATTACCGTCCATCGCCAACAATTCGCGCCTGATGAGTTGTTTTTCTTTTGAACTTCCGTCGCGTACTTACCGTGCGTACTCAAATGCTTTCATAAAAGTACTCTCAAAGTCGAGGATTCTGTATAGACTCCAAAGGGAGGACGATACCTGGAGGATAATTTCGAGGGATAGTGTTAGTTTTCCAAGACGAGGATGAACATCTTGAAGCTGATCACTACCCGCGAACAGGGGTTCAGTAAGTATTACACCATCCCCGGGCATCCGGCATTTTATCCATTCCTACGGTTCTGTTGACAATCTTTGTTGTCCTTTTGCAGAACATTTTATGGGCAGTGACATTTCCCTGCTGCGTCTCAAGTGTTACCAGGAGGACGTGTTCGAAGGTGTCGCGGGAAACGTCACTGGAGCAGACATTAATCCAAGGCCGCCAGTACTTGCCTGCAGCTTCTCATCTGCTCCAGGTTATGAGCAAGTCATTGCCTTTGCTAATGAGGATGGCAGAGTTGCGCTCCAGGATACAGATGCGAAGCCCGATAACCAGGGTCCGCTAGAAGGCACACAGGTTTGTTATTGACTCACCTTACTCAATGTGACCTGGAATGTGTTGTGCAATCATGTTTTTGAAAAATTTGCTGTGTCTCATTATTCAAAGAATTTTTTTAAAGTAACATTAAAGAATTTTAAACTAATGCGAAACAATTGATTTCTTTTGTAGACACACAAAAATGCTGTCTTCGACATGGCTTGGATGCCTAAAGAGTTAAAATTAATCACTGCATCTGGAGATCGCACTGCCAGTCTTTGGGATGTTTCTCAGTCCCCTGATTTTACGGAAATCCAATCTTTCCAAGGCCATACCCACACTATTAAAAGTGCTGTTTTTAGGCATGAAGATAAAGGTGTGGATTTTATTCAATTATTTTATTTTTTACTTTTTTTTTGTAACATTTACTGTTTTTTTTACATCCTTGTTAAATAACAATCTTATTTTCCAGCTGTGTTTGCGACTGGAGCGCGAGATGGGGCTATTATGATCTGGGATATAAGAGCCAGTCACAGTGGGCTGCCAAAGCCTGATAATATGATTTTTAATGCACACAAAGTGAGAATTTCATCGAAAAATTCAAAACACTCCTCGACTAAAAAATCTGAGGGATACTCTGTAACACATAGTGTTACATCTCTTGTTTTTCAAGATGATTATAACTTGTTATCTTGTTCCGCTGGCGATGGGTATGTCCAATGACATTGATAAGTTTTCAATTCAACACTAATTATAAATTGAAAGAGAACAAATATTTGAATTTTCCAGTTTTATCAAGGTGTGGGACATGAGGAAAAATTACACTGTACATAAAAAGAAATCTGTAGCCAAGCATGTGCTAAAGTATGGTGGCAAAAGTAGCACCTACAATGGTTTTACGTCACTTCTGATAGATCCATTTAGGATCTCACTGTATGCAAGTTGTGTGGATGGAAGAATTTACTCATACAATTTATCTTCTTACAATCCAAATCCAGGTAAATTTCTCATCTCATTTATGCATTAGGATACCCAAGTTAAAGTGCACATTTTTATTTTTTCGATTAGTTGCAGAGTATTATGGCCATTTGGAATCTGGAAAGGTTTTATCGTTCTTTGTAAAAGCGTGCTTGAGTCCTAATGGAGAGTTTTTAACAAGTGGATCAAATGACGAGACAGCATACATTTGGCGAACCAGGAATCCAGGACTACCGTTCATAAAATTGTGTGGACATAGAGATGATGTGACTTCCACGGCGTGGTGCAGTGTTGGTGATACTAAGGTGTGTTGATTAGGTTCCTCTTATCCTTTAATTTGGTTTTAACAAAAATTAAGTATAATCCTCTTCTTTACAGATCGTGACTTGTTCCGAAGATTGTTACCATAGAATATGGAGAGTGAGACCCGATGTTGACGACACGGACCAACACACAATATTTGGAAGTGCAGAACGATACCAAATTACAACGCCACGTGTAGCTTCTTCGCCACGTGAGTTATTAAAATAATCCAATTTTTAATGTAAAAATGAAGATTGCTTCATGAATATAAACCTCCATCGTTTTGTCCGTCAGTTAAATCAGCTGCTATTGGAACCCACTCGATCGTCAGTACACCAGACTCTATCGCCAGCACAATCCGCTCATTAATTCACACGCCGCAGTCGTGTACCTCATCCTTGTACAGCGATGCCAGTTCATCTGGAAAACCTACCCTGTCCCCCATCACGGAAAGTAATGAAGTATCACCGCGGCGGTCCGCAGGTGCGGCTCGCAAACTCCATTTTAGTCCAAGCAGCAATCAAGTTAGAAAAGAAGAGCAACAGCTCCGAAGCCCTGTCAAAATACATAGTGCGTCTGTTACCACGATATCCTCCCCAACAACAGGTTTGCCGAACTTTGTTATTGATGGGACGGCACCTCACTTGTCGAACTCGCCTTTGAAATCTAAGGAGAATCTCGACTGGTTGACTAAAATACGCAAGCGAAAGCGCGCTGAAGCTGATAAGGATACGCCAGAAACACAACTCAAGAAGACTCCAAGAACAGTGACAGCTAAAACGCCAACTTCAAAAATGTCGCTAGCCAAAACACCGTCGTCACGAGGTAAATCGTCAAAAAGGCCTGCGAGTGATCAAAAGAAGACGCCTAAGAGCCAAAGGTGCCTTATGCCTGCCATAACGAATTTTTGTACTAATTTAGAAAGAGAAATGTAAGTTGGTTATTTATTAAGGAATATATTTTAAATCATAAACGACTATTATATTTTGAACGAAAATTTACAAAAGCAGATGTAGCACGCTAGATTGTTAAGTATTATTTCTATATA